TGACTATCTCTTCAGCAGCGACGCTGCCCACCCGGACACCCGCAGGTGGGCTGTGCGTCCCCCTCCGTGTCACCCCCCATGCCGGGAGCACCCTCCTTGCTTGGGAGATGCCCGCATCCCCGTTTCACGCTCGCGTTGAGCCCTCTTCACACAACGTCTGTAGAGACTGAAAAATCAATGAAGGCGTGGATAATGGCTTTAATGTATTTAACGTGAAGTGTTTAATGGATGCCGACATCCTTTAAGAGTCAGGGTGGTGTTTTTGAAGTGCCTGGTACAGATCTGCTGGGGTTTTACCACTTAATGGGGTCTGGAAACTCACGCGCGCGCTGAAACATAGCCAGATGAAACAGAAAACGGCTGCAAAAACCATCCACGTTAGGCTGGCTTAGCTCCGATGTAAATTAAACTAATTGCACTGGTTTTCTCGCTACCTTCAAACTGATCTACTGGAAAACTTGGGGTCTAAAACAGAGGCGACACCATCCCCAAGGAACCAGGTGCAAAAAAAGCCAGCGCGAGTTAACTCTGAAAGCAAGTGTGGGGGTAAAAATGGCCGGAAAAGGGCTGAATTGCTGTTTTCCTTCTGCTTGCTCAGAGAGCTCAAGAACATTTGTACAAATATAAGGAAAGGCTATTCAGGGTCTTCCTCCAGCCAGTGAATACTTATATATATTCAATATCATGTAAATATATTTATGTGAAAGGGAACTGCAATGTTTACTCATGATGCTCTGCAGCAGGCTTTGCTAGGCTGGACTAAGCAGCTTCTTTTAACACAATATTGCTTAAAACAGGCTTAGATTTTTGTAATCCCTCAGCCACCCGCTCCAGCTGCGGGACGGGAATCCTGAGAAACCCAGAGTAACCCAAACCTTCCTTCCACCACAGCATCCAGCCAAACTGGCTTGTTCCCCCAGGGGGAATTAGGGAAGAGCTGGTCTCATCTCGAGAGCGGAGTGCGGAATGGTGCCATTTAGTCCCTAAAAATACATGTTTACCTGGTCCCTGGTGTCCTTCCTCCAGGCTGCCCTCAGGAGGTGCTGGCAGCCAGGACCTCAACAGGATGTTGCTGGTAGATTCTTATAGTTAGAAAATTACAGAAAATTAGCTTCTTTTGGAAAAATACCAGAGCAGGTCAGTTTTAGCGACAATATCCCTCTAAACTTTTTAGTTTGTTTTGTTTTTCAGGTTTACCTTTGGAAACAGTTGTCTTTTTATCTTGCAGAATACACGAGAGCTGTGATTACTTGGAGGGCAGAGCTACAGTCTTTCACGCCCGTTACCTGTCTGCATGGGCGAGCACCGGCACAGGAGCGAAGCCGCCCGTGGTTCTGGGCCACTTTGTCTTGCCACCCGCCTGCTTGCAAGAAGGTCAGGGGGAAAAAAAAACACCAAAATACCAAGGTTTGGCTCCCCTGAGGGTTCCCCTGTGAGCGGAGCCTTTTTAGGGTGCAAACCAGAACCTCCAGTTACTTCTGCTCTAGGTGGAGGGAATTTCCTTCTGCTGGGAGCGATTCTTCCTCCCCAGTGACAGAGGAACTAATGTTCTGTCTTTTACACTGCATTAGCAAGCAGCGCCGTGCAGTGAGCTCCTTGCGAGTGCTGCCGAGTGCCTCCGCTAGCACCTGTGAGAGGCAGGCAGCGGCTACCGCGCAGTCTCATTATTTGATGCTCTCACGGTCATTTATTTTTTGTTCACGGCAGAAATCAGAAGGAAAATCGGTAGTTTTATATGGGAGCAGGCGGATGATTCCCTTGTAGACCAGGTAAGATGAGAAATATATCCTACAGGAGGTGTGGCTTAAAAAAAAAACAACAGTTCTATCAACTTCAGGGACCCTGAGTTTTGCCCCAGACCCTCAACCCAAATACAAGATGAAATATTCTTGTGCTTGGCACAAGGGCACAATTTTAACTCAACTCTGCGTTGATATTCGCAGCCCAACGAAAATCTGACAGACGAACCAGAGGCGGCGGGAAAAGGCTGTGAGGAAGAAGTGGACGAAGATGTGCTAGACCTGGACGAAAGGTATTTTCCTGCCCTGGGTGGTAGGATTCGGACACGCCCTCCCCCAAATTTCAAGAGATCCACAGCGCATAGGAAATAATGCAGATTTCCCCCCCTCCCCAATACAGCAGCGAAGAAGAAACAGGCTCCACAGCATCTGCCCAGGGGGAATTTCCATGCCGTGCCCTCCAGGAATACCCGATTAATAACATGGTGACAGGTAACGTTCAGCGTCGGTAGATTTTTAAGGAGCAGAAAACATGCCTGAGAAACGACTGCGGGTGAAGCAGGGATCCCCCCATGTGCTCCTTGCTTCCTCCCGGTGATGACAGCAGCAGAAACGCTGAGGGTGTGACTGGAATCGCTCCCTTCTCCTCCGCGCTTCGCATTTTCCGTCGTCCTTGTTTTGTCGGAGAAGAGGGCAGGTCCCCTGGTGAGACTCGCGCTTTCCCTTTGTAGGCTACGCCTCTGCTCGCGACATGAATAAATATGTCGGGGAGCTCCGTGATTTCATTCCCGGCACCTCGGGCTACGCGGTGTATTGGATTCAGAACGAAATTAACATTTACGCTGACGTGAAGACTAAAATGAAGAGAAAATTGTAAGTAACGGGTAGCTGCTTGCATCAAGAGCTTAAGCTGCCAGAGAGCTCTCGGTTGCGTTTGGAAATTCAATCCCGCAGTTAAGACACTGGGAATGTGTCCTTGCTCGCTCTCTTCTGTGGATCGATGGTTATTTTAACCGTCAGTCTGCGTCCTCCCCGTGTTTTAGTTAAATAGGGAAGAGATTGGTGGTATCGAGCTGCAAACTCCGGGTTAAATCTCCGTGATACGCGGGGGATTTGTAAACTATCCCTGCTTGGCTTAGCCCGACTGCAGCTTGGCACGTTCAACGTACGTTTAAATACCTGGCTGCATTTACTGTAAACTTTTTCTTCTTTAAATAACTATTTAAAACATATTCCACAGCAAACAAATACAGACGCTTCTCCCCAAAACACAAAACCTTTGCTTTTTTGTTTGCGCCGGGAGGATTCAAGATGTGGCTGCAAACTGTAGTTTCCCTTGGAGGGACACGTCATCCCATGGCACAGCCGCACCCACCCCACGGTACACGCTCACCGGTGGGACCCAGGGCCGTCGCGGGGCTGGCAGGACAGGCAGGGGCTGGCCCGGGGTTCTCAGACTTCCCCAAAGGAAAACCCACACCGTGCTGGAGCCGGCCACGCAAGGCGGGGAGGGAGAACCCAGGGACGTGGGTCACGGGACCGGACAATGCCAACAGCCAACACCGAAACCTGTAGGTCTCCCCTGCCTCCACGGTGAGCCTCTGCATAGCAGGACAGTTGCTTTGGGGTGGGGCAGGACAGTTTTGGGGCGTCGGGGTGAACCCCAAAACTCTCACATCCCTGCTGCGCCCTGGGGAAATTGCTGGAAGGAGCATCTCGCTGTGGGCAGGGCAGCACAAGCCTCAGCAGGGCCCATCTCCAGAGGGGAGCTTCCACCCCAGACGCAGTGCTCTGCTCGGCTCTGGTCACTCCCCTCGTACAAAGAAAACCATTGACAAAAGACTTCTTCCTTTAATTTAAATGCTTAAAAGTGACCGACACAATTATAAAAAACAACTTTTATTCTGGCACAGCATGACTCCCAAGAGTTATCCGCTCACAGGAGGCACAGGCAAACCTGTGAGGTGCCCAGTGCGAGGAGCTTTGGCAAGCTCCAAGGAGCTGCCGTGGCTGTCCTCTCCCACCGCCCTGAGAGCCTTTAAAGTAACACCTTTGCACCTCACACCCCAAACAGCCAGGAAAAAACCCCAACAAGACGCCAGCAAACGGTGTCGAGTCCTCCTCAGCCTCTGAAGCCTCAGACACCCATATTTGGGACGCGGTGCCCTGAGGAACCAGCCCTCCCTTGTCATCCCTGGGGACGCAGGCTTCCAAAGACCAGGCAGGCTGAGATGGTTTCCCCACGTTTATTGGAAAAATGACATACAGCGACTGACTCAGAGAGCTCCTCGGGGCGTTTTGAAGTTCATCCCCACCGTGGGCTGCGTCACCTGCAGGTTGGACAGGCTGCCGAAGTCCTGGAAAACAGCATGGGATGGGGATCAGTTGTGCTGCTCTGCCTGCCATCCATGCCCAACCCCGCCAAGGGCAGATTCGTGTCTACAGAAAGAAGGGGAGACGATCCACCCTGCTCCGGAGATCAGCTCATCGGTGGCTGGGGGCATCCAGACTTTTTAAGGCCGAACCCACATTCGCCCCCACCCAGCAAGAGCTGAGGAGGGGAAGCCAAAGGAGCGCATCCACCCTGCCTCTCCCCTCCTGAGAGCCGTACGGGAATTAATCAGCCTATGGGTGCCAGCGTGGAGGAAGCCCCACCACGTGCCCGGAGCATTGAAGCCTTCAGCCGACACCGTTGAGCCTCTCGGGGCAGTGGGAGCGCTGCTGGGGACCCGCCACCAGCCCAGCAGGGGGACAGCGGGGGCCACTCACCAGGAGCTTCAGCATTTCCTTGGTGTCCGGGTCCACTTCAATGATCTCCTGGTCGAGGGCAGAGACCTGGGGACAGAGGAAAGACGGACACAGTTTGACGAGGCCCCGCAGTCACATCCCTGCTGCCATCGGGTTGTCCCCACTCCCCTGCTCCGGTCCCGTCTCACTGCAAAGGGGCTGCGGGACGGGACCTGATCCCTGCCCCAGCACCCCCCATCCAGTGCTGCCCACATCTTGTTTCAGTACCAACAAGATCTCTCTGCTCTGCCCGCCGTGGGGAACGGCTCCAGCAACAGAATAAGCCAGGAGGACCCCAAGGGCGTCCAGCTCTCCTGCCACAGCTCCGCCAGAGGCCACTGGGCAGCAGAGAGGCCCCGCACGGGGAGAAGAGCACTTGAAGGCAAGTCTTTGGAAACACAAGGCCTAACCAGCTCCACGCCACGGCTGCCAAGAGGAGCCAGCATTGGGT